TGTGTGTGTGATGCATGTTCAGTACAGAACTGTCTCCTGTGTATGTGTCTGATGCGTGTTCAGTACAGAACTGCCTCCTGTGTATGTGTGTGATGTGTGTTCAGTACAGAACTGTCTCCTGTGTATGTGTGTGATGCAGGTTCAGTACAGAACTGTCTCCTGTGTGTGTGTGTGTGTTTGTGTGTGATGTGTGTTCAGTACAGAACTCTGGTTTAATTACAGCTGTTAAATGTCAAAGGCTCTCAGCTGGTCATTTCTATTTTCACTCCACCCTCACCTGAAGACCAGGGTGCAGTTCTGCCAGTCGAAGGGGAAGTAGGTGACCTCCACAGAGCAGGCGCTCCTGTAGATGGCTGGGGGCAGCCAGTACATACTGCCATCAGGGTGGATCAGCACATTGGCATAGTAGGCCACATCGAACTTCCCATCGATACTGAGAGAGAGGGGAGGAGGGGGACACAGGGAAGAGCGAGAGGGAGGAGAGGAGAGAAAGGAGAGAGAGGGGGGAGAGGAGAGGGCAGACAGGGAACGACAGGTATTACTGTCCAGATAGGGAAAGTGAGTGCAATGTTAACACGAGAGACAGAGGGTGGGCCAGCCTGCAGGACACAGGGCACTGCCCCCTAACACAGGGCCGCTGGCACTGGGAGCACTGGGGAGGACAGAGAGACTGGGACGGGGGACTGGGGAGGGAGGGAGAGACTGGGACTGGGGGGACTGGGGAGAGAGAGACTGAGATGGGGCAAGAGACGGCCCTAGACTTTGGAAGAGGGGGCGGAGTAGACAGGGGAGGGTGCAAGTGACCAGCGAGGATGACCGTTGAAGCACTTTGAAAAGACTGGCAATGAGACGAGAAAGAGCAGCAGGGCTCTAGTGAGCGTGAAGGGAAAGACAGAGGAGTGGCTCCTCCTGCCGCCGCTCCTGCTCACTTGTTCTCCAGCACGATGTCGGGGAGCCACACCATGTTGTAGGGCACGCGCACCACGGAGATGTCATCGTGCTCCGAGGAGTTCCACGCCAGGCGGTAGTCGTTCCATTGCTGAGAGGAGACAGAGAGATCACACAACACACTCCTTCTGAGTGCCTGACCAGGTGAGACACAGAAAGGAGAAACAGAGCTGACAGAGGACAGGCTCAGTGACCACAGCCTGGACACAGAAACTGGACACAGGCAGACCTGGCTGCCCAGAGAGGACAGGCTCAGTGACCACAGCCTGGACATTGAAACTGGACACAGGCAGACCTGACTGTCCAGAGAGGACAGGCTCAGTGACCACAGCCTGGACATTGAAACTGGACACAGACAGACCTGGCTGTCCGGAGAGGACAGGCCCAGTGACCACAGCCTGGACACAGAAACTGGACACAGGCAGACCTGGCTGTCCAGAGAGGACAGAAACTGGACACAGGCAGACTGTGGCTGCCCAGAGAGGACATTCTCAGAGACCACAGCCTGGACACAGAAACTGGACACAGACAGACCTGGCTGTCCAGAGAGGACAGGCTCAGTGACCACAGCCTGGACACAGACAGACCTGGCTGTCCAGAGAGGACAGGCTCAGTGACCACAGCCTGGACATTTAAACTGGACACAGACAGACCTGGCTGTCCGGAGAGATCAGGCCTAGTGACCACAGAAAGAGGTGTACCTTCTGCAGCACTGTCAGAAATACTCCAGGATCAGACAAACATCCTTCCCCAAAATAACTAATCTAATCCCAGAATTCCCACTCCTGCCAAAATCAGAATAGCTTCCAAATCTCCAGGGAAGGAAACCCAACAGAGAGCTGCAGATCAGTGCGTGCCACAGCCTGAGCAACAGACAGTCACCCTCGCTAATAATAATAATGGCATTGTCCTGAGTGACAGGCAATATTTCACTAATTGTTATTCCTTTGGCAGAAATCTGATTCACCACTCACGGGAATAACGCTCTTTCAATTGAAAAACAAAATGAGACAGAATTGACAGAAAGAGACAAGATGTTACTCACAATCTCTATCCACACGTTGGTGGTCAGTGCCTCCTCTTTCTCATTCTGAAAATGAAAGCAGAGCTCAGTTCTTTCACTGAGGCTTGGTGTTTGCAACGTGTGTTGTTATGTAGTTTGTGTGGGCGGCGGTATCACTTCTTGTGTGATTTGTTTGCTACCGTCCTGTGGCAATATATTCATATATGCATATTGTATGCAGGGCAATGCAGTGGTTATCATTACTGCCTCGCAGTGCTGGGGCCCCGGGTTCGATTCCTGGGGTGCTGTCTGTGTGGAGTTTGTATGTTCTCCCCATGTTCACAAGGGTTTCCTCCCACAGTCCAGAAACACACCGGTAGGTTAACTGGCTCCAGAGAAGACTGGACTGGATGGATGGTTATTGCCACACAATTGTATGCAGTGTAGTGTTGTGGGGAAGCAGATGTGTACTTAAGTTGAGGCACGGTTATGTAGTGTAGATTTGTGTAGGTAAGATGTTGTACAGGTACAGCTCAACACTTGTGTGGTTGTGTAGTGAAGGAGCTGTGCAGATATGTACCAGAGAGATGAGGTTGGTCAAAGTCAGCTTGACCTGGACCTGCACTTTGTCTCCTGGCTGCCTGGCCGGTCGAATCCTCTTGTTATATCCACTCATCAGGTCTTTAAGTAGCCGTGACTCCTGGTTCTCACATACTGAGAGAGAGAGGGGTTAATAGAGACACACTGGACACTCCAGTACATTAACACTGCACTGAGAGAGAGGGGTTAATACAGACACACTGGACACTACAGTCCATTAACACTGCACTGAGAGAGAGGGGTTAATACAGACACACT